GTCCTGTTTTTATTTTAATTAAAGCTCTTGCTGAGTTGCTGAGGTTGGCTTTGAATTCAGGATCTCATGCCTCAGCTCAGGCTCCTGAGCTGCTGGGATTACAGGCACGAGCTGCCATGCCTAGCTCTCAATCTGCCTCTTGATAGGCATGCTCACAGTCCTGGGTTCTCTGACTTGTGTGCTTGGTTTCTACACCCCCTTAGGGTGCTGGTCTGGTCTTGTTTGTTCACTGCTATGTCTGAGTCCTAAAGTGTCTGGCACTAAGGTGCTTAATAAAGTTTTGTTGAATGTAAAAATTGATGGCCAAATGAATCAGAAGATCTTGCAATAAGTAGTACCAGCAAGAAACCACAAGGGCCAGGGCTAGAGAATGATGTAGAGAAAGGGGCAAAGTCTTTCAGACATCAAACTTCTAAATGTGGGAACCCAGGAAAGATAAGGGAGTCCAGGACAAGTCTACATTTATTACTTCAGATGCTGCTGTTTATAGAGGTAGAGAAACAAAGGATTTTTGTTTGGGGGAAGAAAATAAGGGGTTCATGTAGGACTGGTTGCATTTAGGGTGCAGGCTTCAGATAGGACATGTCAGGTACAGAGGTCCTCTGCATCACTGTATCTAGCTGCTGGGGGAAACTACCTACCTGCTTTAGAATACAGAATGGAGGGTCTTTGGAATCAGGGACAGATCTTTTATCTGTTATTTGCATCCCTACTAGAGTTTGGGACATACAGAAAGCTTCAAATGAATGAAGAAATTCAAGGTGAAAACAAGGAAGCAAGCCAGCCAGGCAGGCAGCTGTGGGCCTTGGAAGAAAGCACCAGGGTGAATCATAGGCAGGTCATAAACTGACCAGGGAGGTCTGAATAGGATACAACAATAAATTGAAGGGGACGGGGAAGGAGGAGTCAGGGGATGACACTGAGGAGGAACAGACATTCTGGTTATACCCGGACAGCCACCAGCAGCAATATGCAAGAGTATCCAGGAATCCCACTACGATACTGGTATAACAGTGCTGCTCAAATTGAGAAATATGTATAGCAAAGGAAGAACAGGGGTGAGGGGAACTCCAACAAAGCTTACTTATGAATAAGGATACAAAAATCTGAAAGAATAAATAGAATTACAATACTTTTAAAAAAGATCACAACCAGGTGAGTTATATTACAGGAATGTAATGTTGGTTAAATGAAAATATCCAACTCAAAAAAAATTTTAGAAAAATAACTGAAAGGAAATTATAAAAAAAAGCAAAATATATCAAGTTATATAACAGTATAAATCATACATAAAAATTGTTGGAGGAAATAATGAATAAACCACTAGTTAAACTAGAGGTGAAAAAGGGGGAAATGTCATAAAGAATTAAAACAATAACTAATGAGAGAGCAACTTTAAAACATTCATTAGAGACTGTCTCTTTTCCAATTTTCTAGGTCAGATGAAAAATACAATTTCTTAGGCAATTATAATTGAGAAAATTGATCCCATTAGGGGAAAGTTTTTTTTTTAATTTTTTTTCTGATAATAGGGATTGAACCAGGGGTATTCTACTGAGATATCCACAGACATTTTTTAAAATTTTGAGAAAGGGTCTTGCCAAGTTGTCTGGGATAGCCTTGAACCTGCCATCCTCCTGCCTTGGCCTCCCGAGTAGCTGGGATTACAGGTATGTACCACTCTTCCTAGCTAGGAAGTTTAAACAAATTGCCATAAGAAACCATTAAGTCACCAAAGGTCTCACCTACTCTTTATCCTCCCCCACCATACTGTCACAGGTCTATACAGTTTCCCAAGGGAATTCTAACAAGCCTTCAAAGACCAAAGAATGAAATGCCATGTGAAATTTTCCAGTATGTGAAGGAAAAAAAATTTTTTTCATGAAGCATGAATAAAACCGATTCCTAAACATCTACTTCATGCATCCACACACACCCACCCAGCCCAAGGAAAGTATAGCACTCACAGCATCGTTTGCCATGGCGCACAACTGTAAACCAGCCAACATCAAGATAAACAAAGGTGATATACTTAGCGAAAATAAACAGACTAGATTTCCCCATTTTGGTGTCGATCTCAAAAACGTTGAGAAAAGGGGCACAAAGTAGAAGGATCCAAAATTGATTTTGTTTACAAGGAGCTTGCAAACTGGCAATATATTGTTTAGGGATAGACTGGGAGGAGGTAGCTGAAGCATCTGGTCTGGTGTCCTTACACTCCTTAGAGGAAAGATGCTTCTGGGGAAAGAGCCAGCCAGGTGATGGCGGTTAATCTAATGTAAGTGTGGTAACAACTGGAATACCTAAAAAATAAGACTACCAATATTTGTTGCGAGTTCTTATTCCTGGAATGCCCTTAGCAAGATGTTCGTAAGAATTAGAGTAAATAAACCCAGAATGTACGGGCGTATGAACATGAATCTGAGAAATGATGTAGAAATATTTCATAACTTAATGTTCTTCACTGGGCGAGGTGAACCGGCAACTTCACCTAGAGATCTTGTCTGTTGTTGATCAGAAAGTACATGTCTGATACATGAGGAAAGGACCTGGGGAGTCACAAGGGATGTCTCAGACTGCTCCCAGCTTCACATGCACCTCAATAGCCTTATTAGTATAGTTAGTGGGCAAGATCTCTGGTCAATTCTGACTTGCTAATCTGATCCTTTGTGTTAGCTCACAGCTTTTCATTTTTACCTAAAAGCAGCTTAAAGATAATTTTGAGGTAGGGGTAGTGGGATGACATCAAAGAGGTTACCTGGGATATCTCCAAGCAGTAATCTTCTAGTTCTTGAAGCTATTGCATAGATGGTTGTCTTACTTTCTTTAAATGATCTATAAATGCTACATTTGTGAATGATAAATACTTGATGCTCAAATATAAATTTGGCAAAAACACAGAAACTTTTAAAAACTTTGGCATGGAGGGAGAGAGGGAGATGGGAAAGCACTCCTAGAGGCAGGCAGGAAACAAAATGCACCTGAACAGGAAGAAGTTTCTAGTGCCCTGGGGCACATATCAAGGCTACTGTAATACTCTGCCCAGGGGTTTCATTAAGGGTACTTCACATGCATCATGCCATCTTCTAGATGTCATCTTCTAGATGTATAAGCACCCTATAGAATCCAAAGCTAGGATTTTCTGCACCCCTGATGGAGCAGAGTCTGAGAGATGAAAGTTCGGACCAGGGTGGAGAAGGGCCAGGGGAAAGGAGATAACCAAAATCTGTCTTCTGCTTTCATGTAAACCAATTCCCTGTAACTCCCTTCCCTCCAAGTTTTCATTCTTCATTATTCTTTCCTGCTCTTTTAGGGACCATGAGAACATACCCCTCCACCACCTGCTGATTTACTGTGCTACAGGTTAGTAGTGAAAAACAGAAATCTTAGCTGGAGAAGATGCCTAAACGATGGGCACAAAGATCTGACCAGATGGGCAGATGTAGGAGCCTTCAGCTCTGCAAGCAAGTACCTGGCGTTCAATTTCTTCTCGGGAGTATGTAAATACGATTCTGCTCTGTTCCTCAAGTCTTTATGACACTTGCAGAAAATAATGAGTTACATGTCAATGTCTCCATTTCCACCTAATAAAGATCACAATGGAACCATTAAACTGAGAAATCTCTCCCCTAGAACTCTAGTTATTCATAAAAATTAAGAATGAAGAAGTTTGTCATAACATTTATAATTGAAGAAACTTCGGAAATAACTGAAATGCGAAAAACTAGAGAATTGATTATATGTATTAAGGTACATGCACACAGGCAGAATATTAAAATCTTTCCCCCCCAACTCAACAGGCCATGAAGCCAAGATACATAATCTAAAGCAGAGCTGGGATCAGCTACACAAGGCCCACGATCACAAGGGACCTGTGGTTGATTTAATGAGCTTCTGTTTCCATCTTGAAATTCCTATAAATTTTATCTGTAACCATGTGATGCAGGTCCAGTAGCACCCAGGAGCATGCTTGTAGGCGGAGGAGATAGGTACAATATCCACATCTGCAATTCCTGTCGCTCATGAGCATAGGATCAGGTAGACCTAAGATATGTGAGACAGACCCACAGCTAAGTAAGCAGGGGTGCCAACAGCTCTGGGAGCTGACTGCAGAGAGAAAACACCCCGAACGGCTTTATCGCTTTGTTGTTTCCCCATATTAAGTCAATGGCTTATCTTGAAACAATGAGAAAACATGACAAGACAGAGCAACCCAGAGATCCCTTTTCTTTCAACCCTGCTTCACTCATTAGTGAACTAAAGGCAGAACATTGGTAGAATGCACAAAATGAGAAATGAAATGAAAATAGTCAAGTTGGTTTTGTACAGCGTTTCCCCTGTTGTGGTTAAGAATGAAATACATGTACACGGGCTACGAATTATGATTGGGACAATTTTGATGATTCTGCCCACAAGTTTAAAGCCCTTATATTTGCATTTTAATTGATGTTGCATAATACAAAGATGACCAGTAACATTCCCGTACATTTTAATTTTTCCTTATGATGTAATGTAGCAAAACAAACAAAAAACCGCACAGAAGGTGAGAGATGGTAGAGACAAAAAAAAAAAATAAGTATCTTTAAAAGCACTTTTTATCCCCACAAAATGGCCCCGATTTCCACTGGGACCTACAAATTATATAGCTGGATCTCTGACACACACTCCCTCAACCCCTTACTCCTTGACTGAAGGTGCCGACAAGTTCCATGTTCTACAAAATAAAATAGCTCCAAGCTTCCCCTACATCAAAGGTCTTATACTTAAATATCAGGGCATCTTGGAAGGGCTGTTATAGAACAGATCGCTGGGCCCACCCTCAGAATTTCTGATTTAATAGGCCTGCAGGGGCCTGAGAACTTGCATTTTGAGCAAATTCCCCTCAATTGATGTGGATGCTCTTATGCCACACCCAGAACCCCTGGTCCATAGCGCATGTGACTTCTGCCTTTGACATTTGCTGAAACTGAAGATGACTTACAAATGACATGTTCTATTACCTCGTAAATGTTAAATTGCTCCACTAAGTCCAGGTCAGTTCCCTTCTTGTTCAGGTGCCTCTGGGACACAGCAGCAATACCCAGCTCCTCCAGACAATCCACCACGTCGTAGAAGGAGTCTTGGTCTGGCAATCCTGACAACGTCTGGAGAAAGAAGAACCCAATATAGACACGACTTAAGAGACAGTCACAAGGCTCTGAAAGCATTTTTACATGTTAGCCAGGGGCCTTTGATTATAACAATATAGAACAAGCAGATGGCACAGTCATTTCACGAGGGGGAGAAAACTCCTTAATGTGAGGGGTGGGGTAAAGCCCAAGATTCCTGCTTCCCTTCCCTTGAATATGGGCTCAATACTCATACAGTGGGGTGTCACATCATTGTAAGCTCATGTTATGCAGGAAAGCGAAGGGATTTTGCAGGTGTCATTAAGTTCCCCAAATCGGTCGATTCTGAGTTAATCAAAGGGGAGATTGTTCCGAGTAATAATCCAGCGAGTCCTTCAAAAGAGGGCTTAGGTGGTCTTCACTGACTCAGAGACCGGAAACAGATTATCCTCCTGGTCTCTAGGGAGGAGCAAGACCCCGTGGGTTCTTTGGCTGTGAGGAAATGAATTCTGCCAATAGCCTTAAGAACTTGGAAGAGGACCAAATCTCAGGGGGGACCACAGCCCCAGCCGACACCTAGATTGCAGCCCTCTGGGACCTGGCTAGGTTTATGCTGGCCTTCTGCCTCACAGGATCTGTGAGATAATAAAAGCATGCCATCCTAGGCTACTAAATTTCTGTCACATGACGATAGAAAACTAATACATCTTGGGATCACTCCTATTACAATCAATACACCAACAGCTGGTGTTATAATAATTTAGTGATTCCCTTTTAATTCAGCAGGGCCTCCTCTCACTCTATGAAACTAAGAAAAACATGAGAAATTTCAAAGTGGCAACCATAAGACAAACACGTAACCTGAGAAAAAGCCAACTCCTCTTTAAATTCTGCCTTTCTTCAAAGGAGGAGGATGGCTCAGACCAGGCCCCTGCTCAGAACTGGGAGGAAGCCTTGGGGAAAACTACTTCAAGCCACTCATCTTATCAGGGAGGGAGAGGAAGGTCCAAGGAAAGATGGGATCTGCCCGAGGCAAGAGGAAGTCCTTGGATAAAATCCCAGCTCAGAGCTGCCATTAGGTCTCCACTTCATGCACACACCTGCATTCTGCAGGAGTTATTCTGGTCTGAAAGTTCAGATACTGGTCTCCATTTCTCTACCTATTTCACTACCTTTGCATTTCTGAGAACACTGCATGCTTTCCAAAGTGACTCTGAAGGAGGTTTAACCTGCCTCAGAAGACCCAAGATCAACGCTTCTAAAGCATCATTTCCAGCCCTAATTCTGACATCTATTTTGGGGCTGTCAACACTGGAAGGGAAATCTACCAATAACCCCAAAATGGCTTATTCCTCTTTATTCTGTGCAGAGAATACTACACATTGCAACTGCTGTATATGTGTAATAAAAATTATAATGCATTCCGCCGTCATTTATTTTGTGAAAAATAAAAATAGTGGAGAAAAAAGATTAGGAACTCATGAAAAAATGCTTGTGTGGTAGTGAATTACTCAGTAAAAGGTGCAGTTTGGTCATGAGAGAGAAGCCTGTAAATCTGTTTAATAAACAGATTCTCACATGTGCATGGCCAAGCGTGAACCCAGGGCAACTGATGTGACAGTCAACACTGCATAACCAGTAGCAAGAGTCACCCAAGCACTTGCGTCTATCATGAACCAAGAAATCACAAAGAATCCCATTTTCAGCTGGGCTCGATGGTGCAGTCTGCAATTCCTGAGACTCGGGACGCAAAGGTAGCAGGACCTCAAGTTCAAGATCAGCCTCAGCCACTTAGCAAGGTCCTAAGCAATTAAAAAGATGTCGCTCAGGGCTTAAGTTCAGTTCCCACTACCAAAGAAGTTTAATAATCCTATCGGCAATCTTATCCTCTGGTTCCAACAAGAACTCTAGAACTTCTTAAAGAAAATGGCAAGATGCCCTACTGCATATAGACCCTATAAAACATACAACTTGGAGAAAGCAGGCACTTCAACATTTAGAATCAGAATTAAGACTTTCTACACAGCCAGAAGGATGTCTCTGCCTCTCCACTCCCCTTCCTCCTGACCTGAAGTCAGCTGACCTTCTTTCACTCTGAAGTTTCCAGGGGATTAAAATCCTAGACCTAATCTCCATCGCCTCAGTGAGTCCAACCATGAAGGATAGGGGGATCACTATTAAATAATTAAACAACTAAATCTATAGACCAAAACAGACTCCGGGAGCCTTCACTCAATAATAGGCACAGAACCAAAGGTATTAAAAGGTCATTTGTCATTTCCGCTGTGAAAATCTGAGCCAAGCCTGGGGACTCCAGCTTTCGTGCCTGGCTGCAGGGGAGATGCTGGTCCTTCCACCACAAATACAAACAGCTTCCTTTTCCACCTGTGATGGGGGGTGGGGAGACTTCCCAGAAACATGCATTTATCTACTTTCAGCTGATTCTCTAACAAGTTCAGCTAATTTACCAAGCTCCCACATGTCCCTGGGCCTCTCCTCCAAGTTGCACCCTGTCACCCTCACTGCCAGGCTGCCTGCATTTGACGAAGGTGACAGTTTTGCCAAATGACTCTGAAGCAAATATTTCTTTCCACCTTTGCCCTCAGATGCCACAAGAGCCACCTGATACCTGGAGCTCCCACCTTCTGATTTTCGTCTTGCCAGGGGTTGTAACAAGGAATTCTTTAATGGAATCTCCTAAAGGGAAAGCATGTCCTAAAGGACATTTCCCCCCTCGTTGGGTTTTTATGGATTGCTTCAAATCTTTTTAGTAGAATAAAATCAGTATGGCAAAGCCTATGCCCCAATATTCCCAGCCGTGTCGTGCATGGAAGGGAAACTATATACTGAACCCCCTTTCCAGAGAAGGGATAAACACACAACATGTCTCCAAAACAGCAGAGCAGAGCAGGTACACAGAAGGATCTCTGGCATTATCCTCACAGTAGCCAGGCCTTTAAGGGGTATGACTGCACCCGACATTCTTGGAAAGACAAAACCGTAGTGATGAGAGAACAAGTCGCCAAGAGTTATGGATAAGAGGGTCAGGAAGTCACTGTGAAAGAACATGGGGAAAATCTGGGGGAAGATGAAATCAGTCCCTTAACTGTGAAGGTGAGACCCATCCGTACATTAAAACTCAAAGAGATGCAGACTAAAAGGGAAAGTTCATTTTACTGTGTGCTATTTAAAAAGTAATAAAATGTAAGAACACAGGCAAAAAACTCAGTATGAACGCCACATGGGTCAATTACCCCGTGGCCTGGAAGCAGCTCCCCTCCCCAGGGCAGTCCCATGGTAACCTCTCCTATTATTCATGCTCCTGCATCTGCCTCATTTTATTTTACATTGATCCATACCCGAGACTCCTAGAATAGGGGAGCATCAAGGGGATTTCAATTGGGTCAATACAGGGAATAATATCAGGGTGAGAAGGGGTTAATTTCTCACATTCCCTCTGATCTTCTGAAGCCCTGTTTGAAGACAAGGGACAGGGCAAGGGAGGGGGGATGGGGGATAATGAGTCTGGTTAACATCCCTTCTTAACAAAGAGACCCACTTCAGTCTCAGAATCCTGGGCAGGCTAGGATTTGCTGTCCTTGTTTTTGCCATGAAAATGTCAATTTTATTTAATTCCACGTTATTACACCACCGTTTATTTTTCTGAAATCAATACGAGTTAGAAACCACCCAACTTGCAATATAATTTCCCAGATTTCAGAGTCTTTTTTTTTTTTTTTTCTTCCAGACCCATTTTAACATTTCAATTTGTTATTCTGTTTGGTATCTCAGAGCATCTTACTCACTGGGGCAATAAACACGCCTCCAATTCAACAAAACAAATCAAACCCAGTATGAGTAGTAGCAGTCTCTTGACCTTTTTAAGGAAAGGGGTTACCACTTGGAGGAACATTCTCCAGGACCTTTCTGGACTTCTCCTGAGCCAGAACAAAAAATGATAACCGCCACAAGAAAAGGAGCAAGGGAGGCATTCCTGGACATTGAATGCCACAACATCCAGTAGAAGAGACACGTACTGTGTCCATGCACTGTGTCCTTGTCAGCAACTGACAAGAGCTCCCATGTCACCCAAGTGCTGTTGCAATCCTAAACACGACTGGGCATGGCCTCTTCTAATACAACAATTTTATTGGTATGGATTGTGATGAACTGCAGGCAAGAGTATTCTATTTTTGCCGATTCCAGTGTTTCAACAAAACAATGTCAGTGACAGAAAAAGGACAGGAAATAGAGGACCTTAATTTGAGGGGGAAAAAAATTGCTTCAAATCACCTGAAGTTAGCACACAAATAGATTTCTAAGTGGCAGAATTCTTAAGGCTTTGCACCAGAAAAGTTGTGTGCATTTCCGTTTCTCATCAGGGGCATATGAGTTTCCTATGGGCTCACCAACAAGGGACATTTCATTAAAAAGCAATCATTATCATGTGACTTCAGAAAAAAATGTCTTGTTTCACTGACTTTTTTTTATTCTTAGTTGCTTTAATATTTTTCAGTTTTCTACTAGGTTCTAAAATGTACTTAAGTTTTTTTTTTTTTTTGGCCTTGCTTCTGGCAAACAATTTTGTAGTTTATCCTTTACCTTTTAGCTGTAGTTTGTGATTTCATTTCACAAACAAAACCATTAACAATTTTCAGTGACATTTAAATCCCTTCCATTGGAACCTTTTATTGGTTTCATTAGTAAAAAGAATCTTCATGAAAGTTGTCACTACCAAAATTGAATTCTGTCAAACCTAAACAGAACGGAGCCAGGCCGCCACAAAAATGGGCCTTCATGCACGTATACCCATGTTATGAACTATCCAAGGAATTCCTGAAAACTGCAGTGTTCCAGATAAGCTGTTTGTTTAAGGATACTTGGCTAACAATGCTGTCTCCCCCAATGAGCTCGCTCCAACTCCTGCAACTAATGATCTTTGTTTCAGAACAGCCTACACGGAGTTCTGTGTTCTTCTAAACATAACCTCTTAGAACGTGCCTGTGACCTCCCATTGTGTGTGTATCCCAGACTACAATCCCTTGCTATTCCCAAATAAACTCCTTGTTCTTGCAAAGTCAGCCTTTCTCAATTTAAGTTGGCATCTTTACCAACTAGAGATCAAATATAACTCCCCTTTTCTACATTTTTTCCCCCTCAAGTTTAATGGGCTACATTGAACTCTCGAGTCTCTTGGGGATTCATTGTGGTATCTAGTCAAAGAACAATTGTATTTCCACTTAGCAACACCTCCCCAGTCATGGAGGCAGCTACCCTGTCCAACTGTGTGGCAGGTTGCTTTGAACACTGGGATCTGTTTCAGGCTCCTAAGCAGAGTCCACAGACTGTTGAGGAAACAGCAGATGACACCCTCAATCCTTCTAGTGGACACATGTTACTACCGAGTGGGAGAAGGGGTTCCTTATAACTATACTGCTCTACGAATGCATCTTCGGTTCATCAGGAGAAATGTCTCTCCAGTTACATGCCAGGACCGGATTCTGGATCTTTCTGAAGCCTTTATTATCACTACAGTTGGAAGGTTCCCACCCAACAGGCTGGAGCACATGAGGAAAGCCACAGGATGGTTGACAGGATGCCTTGGGTCCAGGGTATAACAATTCAAAAAAGGAGCTCCAGTCCCAAATCTGGTCCTTATGGAACCCCCTGCCTCAGAATATCTCTAGGTCTAAGGATGGCTACTGCCCTGCAAGTAGTCAGTGACCAGAGAGGAACGTGAAGGGGAGACAGGAATGCAAAGGTACAGTCATTCTCATATAAGGAGAATGGGATCCATCCACAGGAATCCTCATCTCAGCCAAAGGAATCCAAACTTAATTCCCCATGGAGCAAGACTTTTTTCCTGTTTTGTGAACTATTTTTTTAGAATAAAATTGTTGATATTTTTAAGATATACCCTAAAATTACCTTAATAGGAATAACAATCACAAAATTTCTGCTGTCAACTTTCTCATTTTACTAGGAAAGACCAAAGCATAAAGACACCCACAGACCCTCATGGGCCCAGGCATCTGTGCGCATGCATCCACACACACCATGCACAGCCTGAAGGGCTTTCTCCTGTGAAGCAGCTGGGGTTCCAGTTGCCATGATGGGGGTCTCCACACAGTGTGGCTTGTGAAGGAAAAACTAGGTTTTTACATATTAGTATACAGACTACTAAAACAAGGTGCCATGAACCAGGTGGCTTAAAGCAGGAATTTGAAAATCTGCTATTAAGGCATCGGCAGTGCCATTGTACCCTCTGAAGGCTCGATGGGAAGCTCCCTCCTTGCCTCGTCCTGGATGGTTGGTGGCCGTCCTCAGCACTTCTGGGCTCATATCCATGTCATTCTAATCTCTTGGTCTTCACATGACTGTTTTCATTGCATGCATGTGTTCACATCATCTTCCCTGTGTCTTTCCTCCTCATGAGGACATCACACCAGATTAGAGTCTACCCTGATGACCTCATCTTCACTGGATTACATCTGCTAAGACCCTAATTCCAAATAAGGTCACATTTACTGGTACAGGGGTTAAAATATGAATGTATCTTTTGAGGGCCCAATTTGATACATAACACATTCAACCAACCTTGTTCACCAAAGTCATTGCATAAACCAGCAGCTCCGTGTCAACGCCATCTTTTTCTTCCAGGATTTCCATGATATTTGACCAGGGCTTAATGCCTATGAGTGAAGCAAAAATCATTAGAAACAAGATTTGACAATATCCAGTTCACATCATAGTATATCCAAGGACTATTCCCCCCACCCCCGTCATAGCAGTGTCTTTTAGCTGCCAAATTTGTGTGATAATATCCCGAGAGTGGACCCGAGCATGCTTGGAATTAAGATGTCCTAGCAGGCAACATTGTACCACATCAGCTTCATCCCGTGTAATCAAGTATCTAAAATTCTCCAGCATCAAGATGCTTATCTGCTCACTTGAAAGTTTCCCTTTATATCCACTATGCAGTTTTTAAAATTCCTTTCATGTGCAACATTTTGGGCCATACACTTTACTCAGGTTGGGAAAACTCTCCCTAGGTGTTTTCTGAATGTCCCATGGCATGCAGAAGTTCTTTGTGCACTCTAGCAGTGACTCGCCTATCTGACAAACATCTTAAAAAAAAAAAAAAAAAAGAATGCTCTTCTAGTCCCTTGGTATCAGCCAGTTACAAAGTCTAGTGGGCAGCTAGGTTTACCATCTACAGGAGCAGTTAGAAGAATAAATACTGGCACAGAACAGCTGAAGAGAGGAAGGCATTTAGCTAATCGCATCACTTAGTGAGGGAGGCATCTTGCAGTGGGAATGGCTATAGAGGGCTTAGGACAAGAGGTGGCTCATGAGTGGCCTCTGTAGGGGAGGGCCTGTGAGCAGCTCTCCCCAGGCTCAGAGGCTGCAAGAAAATGCATCAAATTCAGGACCCACAAGGCAAGATTGCAAAGGGGGAAACACCCTTCTGACATGGCTTCCCATGCCTGAGAGCAATGTTTAAAGTGAAGCAAGCATCGCATTGTCCTTGGCTTCTTGGTTTGGGACATGAAACTCTTCTTTCTCTATAAATGCCTCGAAGGAACACTGCTTATTTTTGCATGATGAAGGTAAAATTGAAATAACTTTAGTAGTTTCCAACTGCTGACCCTTGCAAGGTTTATGTCACAGCTAATAACAGCCTTGACATGCAAGTTCCCCAAGGTCAGAGAAATACCTGTCTTATTCATGTCTGTGCTCTTACCTGTCATATAATGTGTTCAATAAAATGCTGAAAAGTAATAAAGATTTCTGTAGGAAGTAGGTAAAGCTAGAGCAATTTTAAAAGAACGAGACAGCAGATGCACACAGTAAGGAAATAAGAGGATTAAAGACGTGAGACAGATTCAGTTTCACATTGAGATCTTCTGGCTCTCCCACCAAGTGATACACAAAGTCTTAACAAGTCACTCTTCCATGAACTTTTAAGCTGAGCACAAAGGCATGCTCCATTCCCTTGCTAGTGGGCAAATTATCCTGGTTGATATTGAAGTTCTTTTAAGTCTATACCACAGCATAGTTTTTCTTTAAACCCTACCAAAGTAACCATCAAGACAGTCAAGACGGTCAATCAATGCAGTCAGTAGGCCTATGGTCTCACCATCCAGGTGCAGCTCAAGAGCTCTGGGTGCCTCTGCTCTTGCTTATCATTCACACACAGCACCAAACCTCAGCATACAACATGTCAGTGTTACCCACTTGTGGTTAAAAGAAACATAGCGTAAGGGAGAACACACTGGAGCCAAGAATTTCTAGTAGTACTAGCAGGCCCAGAACTGCTTCCTAGTTTCTTACTTTGAAGCTAAAGAGGCAACAGGGCTCAGAAAAAGTCAAGTAGCAGAGGCCTGCAGCCCAGAGTAGCCAGACTACAGTCCCCCCATCCCACGGACACATACGTGTGTGTCGCATGCGCGCACACCATCTAATCCATTATGATTAGAACACTCAAACAAAGCTTACTTTAACTGAGAAATGTGTTATTCATCTATGGTTCCCAATTCTATTATCATTTAATGATTTTAAGTCTGGGAACATGCATATATTTACATGCTGCTGGGATGAATGCTCTCTCCTCTTTGATAGTTTGGTACCATGAAGGCAAAGGGGAGAAAACATTGGGTTTAACAAAAACTTTGGTGGGGCGTAGGCTAGACCTGTGTGAAGCACCAGCACTTGGGACTCTTAGGAGCTGCCCCATCAGTACCAATTAGTCTAAGCTCATCCTCCATCTCCCCCACTATGTGTGTTGGGGGCATTTTTGTATCGAAATAAGCCCTTCAACCCCACCCCTTTACGTAAGGCAGGAACTGGGCCCCAGAGCAGTGGAATGAAGGTCAAGTCAGAAGACTCATGTGGAAGCATCTACCTTGCGGTATTTCTTCAAGGTGTCGCTGAGAAAAAAAAGCACTTTGTCTTTTCCTTAGCAATGACAGGATAGTTGGAAAACAGTTACTGTTATTATCCGTCTCTCCCTGCTCCTGTTCCCATTCCCCAAACTGTGGAGTACAGGCTCTGTGAGCCTGTCATTTCTTGATGGCTGCATACGCATGGCTAATACTTGCCAAATAACAGTATACATGAAGATATGGAGAATCCTGTTACACAACAGGCACTTGAACATCAGTGGCTATAACTATGATGGTAGTGGTTGGTGGTGAGATCCACAAGTTACCCAAGGGCGGACCTTCTACAGACTCCTGAGCCAGCCCTCTCGTATCACCAAAGCACAGGGCCTCTCTTAACCCAGAATAAGCAGAGAAATGGCTCAAGACTTTCCTACTCGCCTCTGTTAAAACTAAAGTAAAGTAAGACAGCAGCACAATTCACACGCAAGCTGGCCTAACACTTGAACAGAAGATTCTCTTGGTGTGCTCCATGCCCTTCTCCATAATGGATATACACCCCAGAGGCACTTCTGTAAAGAACAGCGGAGATGGAGCTGGAGTTCTGTCAACCTGGAGTTTCCACCAGGCTTTGAACACTCCTCACCCATCAGTATGTTCAAGCAGAAACGGATCGCCTCAAAGGATGGCCGAACTCCACCCTCCCAACCCCGTTAATCATGTGCGACACGTGTTTAAGAATTATGTCGTATCTCATCACTTTACATTCAAATGAAAAGCAGAACTTCAAAAGCTATGCTGAGCCAAGTTAATATGACCCAAGATTTATGACAGAAATTTTGAAATGAGTTACCCTGTCTGGTCCCTTGCCCCATCCTCTGTGGGAGAGGCAAACAGAGGGGAGGTCCCCTGCTCAGCGAGCAGTAAGTTCTTGACCAACGCCCTGAAAGTCACCATAGGGAAGACCTCAAAGAAAAGGAGTCTGATACAGTGACAAAGTGAAGCCCCCTCAAGTGACAAGTGACAAAGTGAAACCCCCCTCAAGGGCTACCAGGAGCTCTGCTGCCTTTCTTCCCACCAGGCCAGGCCTGTCACCAGAAGGGAAAAGTGGTTGAAAATGCCAACAGAAGATGATCTAGGGGACCCAGCAAATAGGTGCATTAACAAGCCATGCCCAGGGACTAACTTCAATTAGCCTTTTTACTCTAGCTCTTGAGCGGAAGTCCAATTGCCTGGGTCAAATGAGGCAATATAAATTTTCAGTCATTCATAAATAATAATTACTACCCATATGGAATTTGACCACCTCAGGTTTTATCCCTGTTCTTTAAGTGGCCCACTCTAGGCCACAGAGCAAACTGGCTACACTGCAGAATGAGCCTTCTGGTTAAACCACAGGCAACCACGCATGATTGCATGATGTTTGTAGAGCAATCACAGGACTCTGTTCTGGACCAATTGCATTTGCTTGAGGTGGTAATGATGCTTGAGGACCTATAGTTTATTTTGTTGGTTTTATGTGCTGATTCCTTAAATCTGACAGTTTTTCAAGTTTTAAAAAAAAGAATTATCTATAGCATGCCATTCACCCTGCTGTGGAAGGAATCTAAAACCACTCTTAGTAAAATTTATGACTTATTTGTATATGTATGCACAAAGGGACATGCTCAGTTTGTCCCTGGTCACCTCTGGCACCTGGGGCTGCTCTCTGGTCCATGTGAGAACTGGAGAGCTGCCTCTAAACCCTAGGTGGAAACACACCTGGCAGTCATGTTGCTCTCTGCAGAAAACCATGACATATTTATGTTTAATTCCATCATAGGATTCTGCAATAATTTTACTAGCAGTAAAATAGGATGATGTTATATGTATGTATTATAAAATCACAGCCAAGACCACACATGTGCATAAAGAAACATGCTATTGAACCACGTGTGATAAGCTATTTCTGAGTTCCATTAGTTTTTTTTTTTTTTCATTGCTAGTGCAGTAGCAGACAGATGATAGCAGTTGGCAAAAGTATAAGACATTTTATGGGCAGAAAACCCCACAAAGCTGAGAAAACAATCCATTAGCTGTTCTATTTTTACTAACTGAAAAAGATGGCCATCATGTTGGCTTGGTGGAGACACTCAGGACAGCAGAGTGCCTCTGGCTAGGGCTGTGGATGAGTCTTGGATGTGGGGCACCAAGTCCTGGGTTAATCTCAGGATCATTCCCACTCTCACAACAGGCCTCTTATGAAATGTGAAGTCCAAGGAAGGAGGCTCTGAGCTCCCAGCTCAGCAAAGCCAAAGAATGACCCCAAGGTCATGAGAAAGCTCTCCCTTCTAACATGCTGCCATGGCAAGAGCCCACATGTTACCTGAAATCTAGAACAAGACGACAGAGCCCATTAATTGTCCTAATGTAACCTCCAGAGTCGGAGGATGGAGAACAATTCCTCCAAGGACAAATGGAAGGAGCTGCCTTACTATCTTCCCAAACGCCCACTCTGGCTTGGAAAAACCAGACCTGGTTTCTGAGCCATCAGCCATCCTAATTAAGGACTCTTGGCTAGCACAGGATCTGCTTTTGGCCAAAAGGCTCTTATCTGGCACCAGGTGGCAAGATGCTGTGATGGTGGGAAACCTGCCCTTTCTGGGACCCACCTCCCAGACCCTGTCTGTGCACCAAGCTTCCTCTTCATCACACACCCACACTGAGGCCTGGAGTTGTCTCCTGGCTTGGACCCATTGTGCCTGGGGCCGATGTCTGCCTGTGTGTTCATGGAGCCCCAATTTAGGATCCTGAATGGCTTTCATTAACTTATATCCTAACTTTCAAAGTAACTAGGAAACTACCTCCCTTTGCATTTGGATTCAACTTCTTACAGAATATCTCAGAGTAATGTTGACTCAGACCCAACTGGATTGAACTGAAAGAGCTATTAGGCCCCTTGTTTCTTCCCGACTGTCACATCTAGGCAGATTTGTACAGAACTCTGCATATGCTCACACAGCTGTAAGAAAATACATCGACATGTTCACTATCATCTTTGTTGAGATCAAAGGTGATTTTTGATTGCCTTTACATTTTTCCCCCCAAATTTTCTACAGTAATGTTACTGTTATAATCATGAAGAGAAAAGTCTTTATGAGGATGGTGATAATCCTAATTGGGTTCCATTAAGGAGGAAAACAGAATAAAATCTCCAGTATTTTAGTGTCAGCTTCTTGCCATTAGAGAGGCCTTAGCATGGCACACTAATCCACATCTAGAATTTGCTCTTGGCCACCTGCCAGCTCAGACAGGGGTGGGAGTGGGGATGGAGCTAGGACACCAAGCTGGGAAACAGATCCTGCCTGTGAGCAGGGCACACCAGCAATGGTGACAATACAGCAAAGAACATGTTAGGTTCCCGAGAGCACCCAAATAAGATGGGAATGGATGGTGCAGATAGGAAGTGAGTGGCAGGTGGTTCGTTAAGCCAGGTGAAGGGTATCATGGGGTGGGGCTTCACACAGTAGGCATGGGAGCTGATGGCAGGTTTTAGATGAGGAACATGATCAGATCCGTTTTAGAAAATCTTCCAATTGCACTCAGGGCGATGAGGGACACTGAGTGGCCTGAGCAAAGAGAGGCAAGGGGAAAGAGGGAAAAGGTTTGAGGAACGTCTAGGAGTCAGGATCAAGAAAGTGCTGTGGAGTGGGGAGAGGAAGGGGGCCAAGGTGCTGGTTCTCTGGATTTCAGTGGGAGCTGGGAAAGAGTAAAGGCAAGCAGTGCCTCACCACCCTGGGGAGGCTCTTGCACTTGGCCTTCATCAGCCCAGCACATTCCAGCCCCGATCTCTGTGTACTGATCATCCTACATTTTTCCCCGAGATGTCCATACAGGAAATGGTGCCAATTCTTCACTCTGCTGTGAGATGTGGAATCCTCCCCACAGACATTTTTTGCCTTAGCATAAGGGGCAAACACACTGCTCACCTCTTTTGGTGTCAACAGCACAGACAGCCTGAATGAGATGAGGTGCATTGGACTCCGAGTACTCCACAAAGACCAGCAGCAGCTTCAGGGCCGTCTTCACCACCAGGCGGAACTGGAAGGAAAAAACACATGGCCTTGGACTTGAGTGCACTCTAACTGTAATCAGCACCCAGCACCTCCTGGGCGTCCCTGTTCCTCTTAGCAATTACACAGGTGATTCCTTCACTAGTCTCTCATTGGATGCATCAGGAGACAGATGAGTATTCTCCCCATTGTACTGACCAGGAAACTGAGGCACAAAGGACCAGGTCTCTGGTCACAGGGCTAATAGGAAATAGAACCAGAATTTGAATGCGAAACATTTGGCTGCACAGCATACACCTCACAGGTTCCAGCAAATGGGACAGTGTCCACTCAGTTGGTTACCATATTTGATACCAGCAACACTGTTAAATGTCTTGCCCTAGGTCACAACAGCCAGGTTGGGTAACAGGAACCTGAGCCAGAACAACCAATTTTGAGAATGTGAAGGAGGATCCCTGGGACCTAGGGACCCACGCTCTTAGACCCCTCATGCTCCGCAGTTGAGAGGAGCCACACAGACTTCAGAGATCTCCTTCACCAAGGTAGGACTCGCCCTCAGGAGGCCACAGGTCACTCACCCAGAGAGCATGCCACACCTCCCAAAAGGAGCTGCCATGACTCCCAACTCCAGCATCCTCCGCCTTGGGGCTGTGACAGGCACGGGGTTTCCAGGTTTGTTCCCTGCCCGTTGCCCCTATGGTGTCGCAACCCCTTGCCCACAATCCCCCTTCCCTCGAGCCTGCTTTCTTCTAAGAACCTCCTTCTCAAGGAGCTCACACACCACCCATCTCCCAGAAATGGGTTCAAATGTACATTTAAGAAACAAGCCCACCTTGAACTGTACGCTCCGCCCAAGCCATATGCCTTTTGGTGCCCACCCTGCAACCTCCACAGCACTCAATTCTTTCAAGGGAAGAGGGAGGCTTATTTATATAATGTCTCCAAAGTCTAAAACTGCTTGGCCCACGATGGACTCAGAGATATGTGCTCATTGAATGAATCCACCAGTTGACTAACAGGTCAGTCACTCCATGACCCCTCACCTACCCCTGAGCCTCTATTGCCATAGTGTGGTCAGCTACATCATCTTCATTTGTTCTGCACAAGAGGAAGAGCCAGTGCTTCCCAGAGGTATCTGCTCACAAAAAAGTGGGGGGCGGCGGAGGAGGCGCAACAAGTCGCCACCTCACCGCCCAGCAACAACACACCACGGGCGACCACCACCACCACAAAAAAAAAAAAAAGATGTGTCCACCAAAACTAAAAAATATTAAAAATTTCTATCAAAAAAAAGTGGTAGGGACACAAGGAAATGCCAGTTAATTGCAGGGAAGGAGTAGGAAGACCACAGGGAACAGAACAGAACATCACCTACTCCAAGTCACTTCTCTCAAGTCATGAGCACCTCTGTCCCCTCGTCTTTTACTGCTGTCTTACCCAAGAAACTACCTTTTCCTCGATCCCACATCTCTTTCCAGCCAGTGCCCTAGGGTTCTCAACTCCTGTTCATAGAAAAACTTTCCTGAAGAGTGACTATGGCCCCTGAGTGCCCTTTCTAACTTCACATCGAC